CAGCATAGATTTTTAAAAGTGATGGAAAAAGAAAGAATTTGAACATTATATAAAGTCTACACTAGTATACAATTTTTTAACATTTTAGAGATTTGATATATACATCATTTACAACCAGAGTAATTCCGAAAATATATATGCCAATCTTTCTTTGTAGCATGTTTTTGTTCATGCTGGTAATTTTCAATTATTTAATCACCCCATAATATAACTCTAAATTACAAGGGGTACCCCACTCCTGAGATTGCAATCACTTGAGAGTAAGCGAAATGGAAAATTATGATAGTGGCCTAACAATGTGTTTGAAAAAAGTCAGTGTTCAACTTAACGAAAAAATGTATTTGCTAATAAGGATCATTAAATTAACCATAGAATACGCGAAATGTTGACTTTAAACGGGACTGTTGATATCTCTGTATCATCAACTAATTTGTCAATAGCTTGCCTCGTTTAAAAAATTATGCTTTTGTAGAATATGCTCTTGTGTATTGAATCAACTGGGAGACATAAACGTCACATGCAGGTAAAAATTGTATATTGCTACATAAACAAGGGAAGCTGCCAATAGAAAACTTGAAATCATCGCGTTTGTCATAAAGTATTGTTTTTAGTTTGTCATTAATATCTTTCTCCGGTAAAAAAAAAAAAATCCAAATGTGAAACAGATGTTTCAGACTCTGTGGGGTCCTTTATTTCGCGTTCAATGGATATATCGAATCAAAGTAAAAATGAAAATGGATATATTGTTAATTGGTAAAAAGTCGTCAATATATCAAAATGTCGAATTTGAAGGACACAGCAACAGACGTCTCCTTTTCATGAAGAAGTTTTAGAATAAATTCTGCTGCATATGAATGCAAAAATACGCCTGCTAATAACTGGGAGCAATTGGTAATTCCGACAGATTGTTGGAAGACCTGATCTCCAAAAATTACATAGATATTGTCTACTCAGAAACTCAAACATCTTTTTAATATCAACTTCGGAATACATGTACTTGTGTGTACAAACAGAATGATTTTTAACAAAATAATTTTTGCGGAAGACCATTGACAAGGTATGTGAATTTACGTGGTCCGTTTCTATTAAAAAAGCAGTTGTCTGTGAGCTAAAAAAGCCTGGACTAATTTATCTTTGGGAATGTTTGTATAAAGTGTGAAAAGTCGTACCTTTTAATGCTATTGATTTTGATAAATTAATATTGTGTGTTTCAAATTTTCTAAAGGTTTCTTGGACTTTGTAAGTAGACTACCCACATCTCATTAACACCACTTAACAAATACGTTGTTGTACAGTATTCCTGAAGTTTCACTTTCACTGCTGTTAGTATTTAGGTAAGGAGTAAAAAAATTAAAGAGGCTTGGTAGAACATTTACTAGAACCCACTATGCATCTTTGTTTGTAAGGATTTTAATGTATATTTTAGGAATTCAGAATAGATATGGTAATTCAAATTCCAGTGGCGGATTTAAGGGGGGCGCACCCGGCGCCAACCCCCTACAACTGTCAAAGTTAGAGTAATTAAATCAGTTTCGTCGAGAAATTGTAAAATTGTTTACTCGGTTGACCTCTGACCTCATTTTTACCCTACAGAATCTCTAGAATCCAGGAGCTTCAGGGGGCTTCGCCCCCTGAGTCCCCACCAAGACTTCGCCCTGGATCGACCCACTGGGCGCCTCAAGGCGCCCCCCAGACCCCCTGCCTACTTTTTGCCCCCCCCCCTTCCACAAACTTCAATTCCTGGATCCGCGCCTAAATTCAATTTAGTTGTTGGGAAGATTAAAACATTTAAATCTGACACAAATTTGATTGAAGAATTTCTTCCTTAGAAAGAGATTTATGAGTATAAGATGGATTACATGTACCATTTGCAGAATTAAATCCAAGTTCCTCTAAAATACAATTATAATAATGAGCCCTACAAACAAAGACAATGCTGTTAACTGTTTTGTTAGCTGGGGCCAGTATATACTGATCGTGTAATCTAATTCTTTTTATCACTTCTGAATTAATCTTATTGAAAACAGAATCATTATGATAGATGGTTTTCATATTGCCCATCAACCGTTTAATGCGAGATTTCAACAGCCATCTGATACTTTTAATCCATTCTGACAAAGTGTCAAGGTTATTTTCGTGTTTGGCCAATCGCCAGGCGTAACCTTTGACAGAATGCATAACATTTTTGAAATTTTGACGCAAGTGGAAAGATTGGGGCTCCCTAGCTCTTTGCCCTTTTAAAATAAGTGATTTAATGTCCTCGTCATTAACTATATTTATATCAGCAGTAACGACGTGTCCAGCAGGAGTATAGTTGTAGGGTGACGAAAAACATGAACACGTATAGGAATATGTTTCAGACGTTCGCCACTGTAGAGTTTTTTTTTTTTTTTTTTTTTTTTTTTTTTTTTTTTTTTTTTTTAAATTAAAAAGTTTGGAAGCAGTAGTCGATGTATATTTGTAAGAAATGCAAGGTGTGGACTTCAACTTGAAATATTGTGGAATACAAAACTGGACCCTTTTGTGATTAAGAATTTTACTAATATCCCTTTGTTGGCTTTCAGTTTAAGGAACAGACGGGTTACTAGAGCAGTATTCTCTTCCGAAAAAGGTGGTGGTTTAAAAAGCTTGTGATTAGCAATATCCATAATCACAGATTCCAACCTGTATTCATGTGTCAAAGAATCCAAATATGGACTTCCTTGGCCTTTTCAAAAAGACAATTTAAAACTTTTAGAGTGTTGAAGTAAATTTTGGTTTGGATGTGATGAAGACCTATAACTGTTTATTTACACAAGGTAGTAGTGAATAAAAAGAATTTTCGTGTATAATAGGTTGTAAATATTCAATTTGAATTGAAAACGGCAATTTCTTGCATCAGTGTGACCTACTTATTCTTTTAAAAAATATATATTATGAGTTGTCAGCCGATAGTTATACAGATAGTCTGCCAATATAATAACTATGACCGAGGCTTGGAGAAAAATCAAAGTCAACTGGGCTTGCAAGTTTTAATATCAAAATTTGAATAAACGTAATTTCGCACAGGGTCTTGAGACAATCTGAGCAAAATTGAGTATTTTCCCTATTATATACTATATACCCGATTTTGCTCAGATTTCCTCAAGACCCTGTTTTGAGGAAATCCCTGTCAAGAATTTCAAACTGATGCGGGATCTTATGAATTTAATATTTTTGAGAAGTAAATCACGTTTGAATGGATCTCATGAATAAACTGGACACCATTTCTCCACATGTAAAACTATACAACTTTTTGAACAGGTTATGCATAACAGACGGACCCCTGGAAACTCCAGAGATGGGATCAGGTGCCTAGGAGGAGTAAGCATCCTGTCATGTACTTGATTTTGAAATAACCCCCATAGTTAACACTAAATAAAAGAAAACTAATAAATTTATAATTATTATTGTTATATTTCCGAGATAAGAATTTATATCGGACAATTAATTACCCAATTTAAAACATTAAATACAATGTATTCATTTAAAATTAATGGTTTTGAACTTACTGATCACACCGTACAGAAGTCTTCTTGCCCACGATCAGAGGAAGTAGCCTATTTCAGATTGAAATCGGTCAAAACTGTAGAAACAGTAAGTGATTGAAGAAAAAAAAACAAGAAAGGGATTCTCATATTTTTTTAGCAATTAAGCAAGGCAAAGCATCAAATTGTAAACCGATAGAGAGATCATTGAATCTTGGTGAGCAGTGGAGAATTTAACGGAGCGCATTCCCACCTCCGTCAAATTTAAGACGAATCATATGTTCAATCTCTCAAAAGAAATAAATTATCGGATAAGGCCATTCCAAATTTTATTTTCTCTGTTTAGCGTCCATCCATCTTACCTATTCGGAAATGCACACAAACACAAACCAAAAATTAAAAACACAGACATTATAGTCATAAAAATGACGTCATTTAAAGGATTTGATTTCATTGATCTTTTTTTCTCATAGAAAGATCTATTCTTCAACAAAATCAAGGTGTTCCTAATATATACATGTATATATTATAGCAAATATTTAGAGAAACTGACAAAATTCAGTAATTTCTACCAGAATAACTAATTTCAGGACTCGATCCTGATTTTTTTTATGGGATATCAAAAACCACTTGAGGCACACACGTACGGACGCTAAACATAGAAAAACTTGGAATGGCCTAAAAGGGGTATATAAAGAATCTATGCTTTTATTCTATATACTTGCAAGACGAGAGTTTCTGGGAGCTTTATATTCCTAGGCTTTGAATGCATATATATAGACTTTAAAGTATTAGTAGTTTTATTAATTTTTATCATATAACATGTATAAGACAGTTGTAAAAATGTCTACTTGGAATGACTTTCATTTTTGCCCGACTAAATCTCAAGAATCTATTCAGCAGGTTCACGGTGGAGCCCCCCCCCTTCCCCGGTCCCCCACCAAGGTTTCACCCCGGACCCACTTGGGCCATCAAGGCGGCTCCCAGACATCCTGCATAATCAGCTGTCCTAACCTCAAATCTTGGATCCGCCCCTACTATATTCTACTTATTAACTGGATGGCATATAGGCCTAAATGATGGGAAAAAAAGAAGTTTGCATACAAACACACAGACTACGGGCACCGTCAGATTTTTTGTCCGGGAAACTGCAGTGCACAATGTGGAAAAGATACAGTAACTAACTGGGGGGGGGGGGGGGGTGTTCAATACATGGGACGATCCAAAGGCCTGTGCTTAGTCCTTGGAGGGATTTGAGGGGGACGGTAGAACAAAAATCATACTCGTTCTTGAAACGTGATGAACGTGAATGCCTTAGTCAGTACTAATGACACACGAGACACAGACAATTAAACACACGAACAAACAATGAACTTGAAACGTGTCGCTGGAAGACGCAAAAATCTATCCAGGACGAATCCTAACCAATCAGAAAAGGCCTTACATAATCCCCGTGAGATTTTTAGTAAGGTTAAGGTCATTAGACTTTTTGCATTGCTAGATCACATATTACGTGTTAGTGGTTTTGGCCTTTTTCGATCAATACAACAGTTGTCATTAAGTACGGTGGGCGGACTTTGAGAAAGAGGAATGCAGTCGGTCAGGATTTTCTTGCAAAATGGAAGAGGGGCGTGCATATCGTACTCCAGCCGCATGTTTTCTTCCTCATCACGGGCGGATCAAAAATCTTACAAACTCGTGGTGGTGGGCGGAGGAACTGGGGGTTGTAGTACTGCCGCACGATTTTGTCATCGCCTCGGAAAAGGGAAAGTAGCTGTGATTGAACCATCGGAGGTAATGTTCATGCATGTTTTTCTTGGGGTATAATATTGTTGACACACGCAGGGATCGACATTAACGGTTGTCCGATTGCCCGGGACAAGTAAATTCTCAATTCGGGCAAGTGAAATTGTCGACATACTTGTCCGATCGGGCAAGTGAATTTTTTTTCATACAAATGTACATATTTATTTAGTTTACATTAATTTATAAATAAAACAATAAATTGAACACTTGATTTCCGCCACGCACCTGACTGACAATGCTTTTGCATTCGAAATTCCTTGGTAGCATTTCTGCTGGATTATATACCATTCATTTAAAATTTGAGTTCGTTGTTTTCTTTCGTAGGAAATACGCTCTACGTCTAACAAAATTTTGTTAACTTATTAGGAAATTAGATTATTCACGCACAGAATATAAGTACAGTGTAACACGTTGTATCCTGATCAAGGTAAGATGTATGTTTCGTAGCAACTATCTTCCTTAAGCGTTGCTTCACAGTTATCGCTGAAAATCACGAATCACAGAATGATCCTACCGCAAATAATTTTCAAAAATATGATTTTTTTTTTTAAAGGAAACGGAGGGTTATTGCCGCATGGCAGTGTGTGTTAACAGGTTAAATAATGTACAAATGCAGGATCGAAATTTTTTCAGGTACCTGGTAGCTCAACTTGCCAAAATTTACAGTAGTGTATTTCTTCACATTTGTTCTTTTCAAAACGTTTGCAGTAATTAATAATTTTCGCTTTAAGTTCCATCCTAATTTTGGGCAACCAAGTTTTGCATTCGGACAAGTAAAAGTTTGAGATCACTTGCCCGAAGGGCAAGTGAATCTGAAAGTTAATGTCTATCCCTGACACGCCGCAAAGACGTGCCATTGAAAATGAAAGTAGAGCTCTAGGCCATTTGTGTTTACAATGATTGATAACACTGAACGTCAATGTGCAGAAACCACTGCACTGTCAGTATAAATAAAATAAAATAGTAAAAGCTTATATATATCATTTTTACTTCATATATTTTAATTATTTTTTGAAATTTTTTAAATTTAATATAATAATTCAAAGAGTTCAGCAATCTTAGAGGTTATTGACACGTATACTTCAGTCTAATGCCAACCACTGCATATATGCTAATGGAGGTTTAAATATAAATACACATATCCAATGGGAACTCAAAAGTTTAAAGGGGGACTGACCATGTCAGTAACCTTATTAAATTTTAATCTTATTAATACATATATTTTCCATCATTTTTTGAAACCTGATGAAATTTTGAATCTTTCCTGTCAATCTGACTGTGTATGGTTTATCCAATGATATGCTAAATTAAATTATATACAGTTTCATTACGAGATTTGAATCACAATTTCAGATGTACTTCAACATAAGTTTTCTATTAAGGATTTCATGGTTCATTACATTGAATACAGAAAAAGTATTGAAAGGTTAACATATTTAAAAGATTCAGATTTATGCACGTGATAATTATTAACTTATTTATTTCTTAAAGAAACATTATTACCAGCCCCTATGGACCCTCGTAGGGGGCGGGCTTAAGACATTTGAAGAGACAGTCAGGCCAACATCACAAGTCCTTCCCAAAGATTGTGATTGGATAAAAGCTAAGGTTGTGAACTTCGACCCTGACAACAACAAAGTTACAACCAGTGATGGACAGGAGGTAATTTTTTTAATCATTTAAATTTAGATCAGTATTTATTTTTGTCTTAAACATGAAATGAGAAGATGCATCAAAATAAATAGTGTGTCAAAGCAAGGCCCCCTGAATTCAAGGAGAGTGCCAGAGCTCCCAAAAAAGTGTACCATTTTAACATTAACCAAACCCAGGAGATAGGAAACCTGAAACAAAAGTAGTAGGGAAAAATGAAACTGGCCAGATCAGGGTTCAATCACTAGCCCATAGACAAGTGTTGTAGCTACCGATTTATCTGCTACCAGTGTACCACTGTATCCCTCCAACAGAAATGTTTGTGAGCACTTGCTCTGTTGAACAGGCCTCTGGCTGACTGCTACAGTATTGCAGAGCTGCCAAACCTTATGATTTTGGTGTAAGGTTTGTGGTTTGAGCATCTAAAATGCACTTTTACAAATTTCTCTACAAGACTATTCATTCTTCTGATTACCATTTTTTTTTTTCAGATTGCTATAGCTGTCCACCTTCAGTTTTCATTATTATAGTTTAAAAATACATAGTCCTTACAATGTCAGCACTTCTTGCTTGTACTATCATTGAATGTTCGTTTTCATGCTAAATTGCTATATAAATCATTTTACAAAATGGAAAAAAAAAATATCTCCAGTGGCTAGGGCGTAGGTGGCCCCTGGAGCCCGAGGATTTTTCATTTCATGATGATTGCAGCTCTGGTATTTTGGTGCTTCTAAAGCATGAAAACAAGATGTACAAGTTTTGCTTTAAAACTTCAAAGAGTTATTTAATGATACCATATTTGTTATAATGAAACATAGGGGCTAATTTTGATTAGACCATGTTAACTCCGGGTTTAACATTTCATTATTCTTGATCATATAATATATTACATAACACACCGGTCACAGTAGCCTAGTGGTAGGGCGTTCGCTTTGTGATCGGTAGGCCCGGGTTCAATTCTCATTCGCCACACCGCGTCAAACCTGCTACATAAAACACAGGTAGTGACTGTTCCTTCGCCAAGCGCCTGGCATTAGAAGTGAAAGTCACGGGTCTTTCGGATATGACCTTAAAAACATAGGTCCCATGTCACGGTAGGCGTTGGCATGATAAAGAACCCTCACTGCTCAATGGCCCTGAGTGCCAAAATAGGTCTAAATTTGAAGCCCTTCACAGGCATACGGTGAGATCTCTATATGAGTGAAAAATTCTCAAATGGGACGTAGAACAACATACAATCAATCAATATTACATAACAATTATATTCAATTTCAGATCAAGTATGAGTTTATGGTGGTTACCATGGGAATGCAGTTGAACTTTAACCTGGTAAGTACAACATTACTGTATATAACATTTTTTTCAGGAAATATAGTTATAACACATGACAGAAACGGTTATAACACCCTCCCGATCATCCTCTTGTGCTGTTATGCTACACATTATAGCTCGATCGGGTTCGAGATTTAATGACTTTGGTTGCTAAGCAAATGCAAACAACTGAGCATAGTTCAAAACATCATAAAAACATCTTTGGATTCGTTGTCTAAACTTTAACGATTAAAACAATTTATTTTTTATTTTGAAAATGTTATATTATAATATATACCACATGGCCTCTCGGGTGATTATACCAGAATATTTGCCCCTCAGTGACAGAAAAGCTTCGAAGTGTTATGTCACCCTCTGCCTGTGGCATCGGGTGACATAACACTCCAGGGCTCTCCTGTCACCTTGGGCAAATATTCTGATAATTGTCACCCTTGAAGCCTTGTTGTGATATATGTATAATATAAAGAGAGAGAGAGTCAGGTTTAGTTAATAAAAAGGGTGTGGCAACATAGAAAATATGTGTCAGGATTTTGAAATTGAGAAAATATAACACAGTACAGTGTAGAATTTTTGTATTGTATGTGGTCTTATGATAATAAAGGGTTTGAAACAAGTCACTTATTCAATTGCTTTGGAATATGAATCAAATTTAGAATCTGAAGAAGAAATTTATTTAAAAAGTATTGAAAAATAATCAGACACAAGTCAATGTTTTACAGGAAATATTTCCATTTCTGTTTGTTTTCTCTGTGATAACTCTTTGAAAGTTAGGAGAGTTGATTTCTTGATCATTCTACCGGAATGCAAATTTTGCCAAGCGAAAGGTCAGTAGCTAAGAAGGCATAATATGCATGTAATTCTCGTGCGGCTGTCTTTGTGTCTGACTCTAAGGAGGCCTAATATGCATGTAATTCTCGTGCAGCTGTCTTTGTGTTTGACGTCAGTGGGCGGGGACTATTGAAATTGACATGTGAGGCCTCGTGTAATTTAAATCTATTAGTCTAAATTTTTAAAATCTAAATTTACAATTTTATTTCAAAATGAAATGGAAATATAAGGAATCACTGTCTAGTTAGTAGAGTATGCCAGGGACATCAATGATAGTTGGAAACGTGGGATAATTATTTATGCATAACGGGCTTCGCCCGTTATGCAAATTATCCCACATTTCCAACTATCGTTGATGCCCTGGCATACTCTACTAACTAGACAGTGATTCCTTAAATAATGAAAAAAAAAAATTATTCAAAAATAAGAGCTAGTTTACACACAAAGATGAAGTTCATATAGAAATTTTAAAGGCAGTTTATTAGGAGTCCTACAGTGAAACAGCCAATTATTCCAGGTTATTAGTTAATTTGCACAGTTTGATCGCAATTTATACATTAATGATCTCTATCAATGGTGAAAATGATATATTGTCATTTATTTTCTTTCTTTTTTAAAGTTTTTTTTTTTTTTTAAATTTCTGAAAAATTAAGTAAAGGCATATGCTTTAAGTGCATAATAGCAGCTACACCCCTGGTGGTAGTGTATAAGCAAGACACACAGCATCCTAACAAACTTATGCTAGCGGGTTACCTCTCTTATAGCTTGATTGGTAGAGCACTGGACTGGCATGCCAGAGGTCCCAGGTTCAAATCTATTCGGAAGCACAAACATGTCTGTTACATGAGAAAATTATTTCTCTTTTTATGATAAGGATTGTGTAATGTATGAAGAAGAAACCCTGTGTACATATGCTCTGTCTTAATTACACATTAAGCATCAACTTGTTGACATGCATTATGTCAAAGTAAACACTCCACTTTTCCCATTTTCTATCTGCCCTTTGTATTTGTGAGGGTAAGTAAGATAAGAGATGTTTACTGCAGTCACTGCAGTTGATTGAGGGAAGTGGTATTTTTTGTGAGAATCGTGACTTAATTGTTTTCATAACAATAACATATAATATATTTTAGCAACAGAAAGATGTAATTTTAAAGTATATTTTCATTTAGACTGAGTTCCACTTTATCTCAATTAAGATAGCAAAATGTCAGAGCATTTTATTTGTAAGCAGTGCTGGAAGTATTACATGTATATGTATTACAGTAAAACATGCTTATAACAAAGTACCAGGGACAAACAATTTTGATATATAGTAGATGTAATTCATTATATTTGCCTAAGGATTGAAAAACCTCTTTACCACATGAAATAATAATAATAATAATGTAGTAGTAATATAATACCATATTAGCTGAATTTTTAGTGAGGATTCAATTTTGGGCCAACATGTTGGGATTGCTAAAATTGAATATCACTTGCAATTGTAATAGCTTTTCTCATTGGTGTTACAAAATCATGAAAATTACTTCTCAAACTCACTAAAAATATATACCAATTTTTGAGGATAAATCACTAAATATCAAAAATCTCGCTTAAAATTCCACTTATACCATAATTTATTTCAATTGGCAAATAGACCGTTGAAAGTATGTTATTGTCGTTCAGATAATTAAATTTTATGGATCAATAATTTATAAAATAATTATATTACCTAAGAAAGGCATAAAATTAAGGAATCTCCTGCTTCTTTTAAAATTAGATATATTCTTTCATTTTTGAAGTATTGAATATGTAGAGATGATTTTTTCGCAGACCACTCTGTGATCTTATCTGCTGTTTGTTGTAACTCTGATGGTCCTCCTTTTTCACATATATATTTAAGTGAAGGTGCATGGTGTCATCAATTTACATACCTGACATTTGGAGGTCATCCACCATATGGATAATTCTGGGCTGCACAATGTTCCTTGAGGCACTCCTCCATTAATTTCAATCCATTCAGATTTTATATCATTAATTTTCACTTGTTGGTGATGGTTGAATAGATTTTTGAAGCTTCTGAACCTATCACTTATATCTGAGAATTTAAGTGTATTTGCTGTAACTGTGTTTTACTGTAATATTTTTTCTCTCTCTTTTATCAGATTCCAGGAGCTCTGGAGGCCTTAAAGAATGACCCCCAGGTCGTGTCTAACTATGCCCCCTGGACCGTCCAGAAGACATTTAAAGCCATCAAGAACACTAAGAGTGGGAATGCTATTTTTACCTTCCCCAACACCCCCATCAAATGTGCCGGGGCCCCACAGAAAATCATGTACCTGGCTGAGGAACAATTTAGAAAGGTCTGTTGAAATCTTAAGAGTTTTCATTTGTCATATTCATGTGTGTGAGGATATGAAACGGAATAAAAACATTTCTTTACATTGACAGCAAAAATTGAAAACTAGCCAGGCCTAATATTATAATAATACCTATAAAATACCCGCTTGTCCATCGGACAAGTTGCCAACAAATGTTACTTTTCTGAATGCCTTTTTTACTTGTTCAAGACACATTAAGAAAATTGTAGAACTTTATCATCAAACAAAAAGTACGCAATCATGTAGCTATGAAAAATGTAGACTTAAAAATGATTGTTAAATCATTAAAATAAAAATGTAGTGTAACAGTTTGAAGTTCAGGCATTTCATGCAAAATTTTAATTTTTATTTAATTTTTTGTCATTTACAGAATGGAGTGAGAGATAAGGTGACAGTTCTGTACAACACAGCCCTGGGGGTCATCTTTGGGGTCAAGAAGTATGCGGCCAGTCTGCTGAAGGTGGTAGAGAAGAGGTAGGTATAAATCTCGTCACAGAGTCGATTGAATGGTTGCCCAGTGATTCATCTGGAAACTAAGATTTGCTCAAAAATTGAAAAAAAAAAAACACTATTAAAGTGTGGTAAGTTGGGTTACTTGGGCCATCGACATCAGACAGCATAGCTCAGTGGAAAAGCATTTGATGTATATTAATGTAAAGGTCCTGAGCTGGATTCCTGAGCTATAGCCTTTAGTATTCATTGTGAATCAGTCCACTCCTCTTTTCCTGTTACTAAATCAAGTAAAATCTATGTACTTGTAGAGATATTGAACATCAATGTATGGTTTCTTTTGTTAAAAAAAATGCCTGTTATTTATCTCTGTTTTTTAGCTCACCTGAGCTGAAAGCTCAAGTGAGCTTTTCTGATCACATTTTGTCCGGCGTCCGTCTGTCCGTCTGTCTGTCCGTCTGTCCGTCTGTCTGTCTGTAAACTTTTCACATTTTCAACTTCTTCTCAAGAACCACTGGACCAAATTCAACCAAACTTGCCACAAAGCATCCTTGGGTAAAGGGGATTCAAGTTTGTTCAAATGAAGGGCCACGCTCTCTTTCAAGGGGAGATAATTAGGAATTAGTGAAAAAATAATGGCATCATTTAGAAATCTTCTTCTCAAGAACCACTGGGCCAGGAAAGATGAAACTTATGTGAAAACATCCTCAGGTAGTGTAAATTCAAGTTTGTTCAAATCATGACCCCCGGGGGTAGGATGGGGCCACAATGGGGGATCCAAGTTTTACATAGAAATATATAGGAAAATATCTTTAAAAATCTTCTTCTTAAGAACAGTAAAGCCAAGATTGGTCATATTTATATGGAAGCATCCTCAGGTAGTGTAGATTCAAGTTTGTTCAAATCATGACCCCTGGGGGTAGGGTGGGGCCACAATGGGGGATCCAAGTTTTAGATAGAAATATATAGGAAAATATCTTTAAAAATCTTCTTCTTAAGAACAGCAAAGCCATGATTGGTCATATTTTTATGGAAGCATCCTCAGGTACTGTAGATTCAAGTTTGTTCAAATCATGACCCCCGGGGGTAGGGTGGGGCCATAATGGGGGATCCAAGTTTTACATAGAAATATATAGGAAAATATCTTTAAAAATCTTCTTCTTAAGAACAGTAAAGCCAAGATTGGTCATATTTATAGGGAAGCATCCCCAGGTAGTGTAGATTCAAGTTTGTTCAAATCATGACCCCCGGGGGTAGGGTGGGGCCACAATGGGGGATCCAAGTTTTACATAGAAATATATAGGAAAATATCTTTAAAAATCTTCTTCTTAAGAACAGCAAAGCCATGATTGGTTATATTTTTATGGAAGCATCCTCAGGTAGTGTAGATTCAAGTTTGTTCAAATCATGACCCCCGGGGGTAGGGTGGGGCCACAATGGGGGATCCAAGTTTTACATAGAAATATATAGGAAAATATCTCTAAAAATCTTCTTCTTAAAAACAGTAAAGCCATGATTGATCATATTTATATGGAAGCATCCTCAGGTAGTGAAGATTCAAATTTGCTCAAATCATAACCCCCGGGGGTAGGGTGGGGCCACAATGAAGGATCCAGTTTTACATAGAAATATATAGGAAAATATCTCTAAAATCTTCTTAAAAACAGTAAAGCCATGATTGGTCATATTTATATGGAAGCATCCTCAGGTAGTGAAGATTCAAATTTGCTCAAATCATAACCCCCGGGGGTAGGGTGAGGCCACAATTGGGGATCAAAGTTTTACATAGAAATATATAGGAAAATATCGTTAAAAATCTTCTTCTTAAGAAAAGTAAAGCCATGATTGGTCATATTTATATGGAAGCATCCTCAGATAGTGAAGATTCAAGTTTGTTCAAATCATTACCCTGGGGATAGGTCGGGGCCACAATGGGTGATCAAAGTTTACAGAGGAATATATAGGAAAAAGTCTTTTTCTCAAGAACAGAAAAGCCATGATTAGTTAAATTGATATGGAGGCATCTTTGGGTAGTGTAGAATGAAATTTGTTCAAATGAGGGCCCCTGGGGGTAAGGTGGGGCCACAATGGGAGATCAAATTTTTACAAATGAATATATGGGAAAAAAATCTGCTGCTCAAGAACAACTAAGCCATTTGTTATATTGATATGAAAGCATCATCAGGTAGTTTAAAATTCAACACCCCCCTCCCTGTAAACTTTTCAATACTGTACTGATTTTTGCTTTTTTTCCTAGCCAATGTGCTCAGGTGAGCGATGTGGCCCATGGGCCTCTTGTTTTTTTGTTGTTGGAACAATGATGATAAAAGCATACTGTAAAAGTGGAAACTTTGACAAATGTCAAAATGTTGAAAAAATTGACAAATATCTAATCATCGTTAAAGAGCACAGCTGATAATTACTTCTTTAGATTGTTAAAGTTTCCACTTGCCATTTTTCTGACATACAAAAATTGTCAAACTTTCAACCCTACAATATAACCACTTTTACAGTAATTGACACAACTTTGAGCATTGCTACTTTTACTTTCACTTTCAGAAATATCAAAGTTAACTACAGAAGGAACCTTATTGAAGTCAAATCTGACAAAAAGGAGGCTGTGTTTGAAGATTTAGACTCTGGAAAGAAAGAGACTTTCACAGTAAGGAAGAATGATATTTTTAATTAATCATTGCTGCAAAATGTCAAAAATAAAAAAGAATTGGCCAGCCCCCCCCCCCCCCCCCCCCTTGATTCTATGTGCCTACAGTAGACCATTTTTACATGGTATCTCTCCTTTACTTCCATTATTATTATGTGTGTTATCTTTTATTTTCTCTGTCTGCAGTATAGCATGTTACACCTGACCCCACCAATGAGTGCACCTGATTAAGTTTGTCATTTTTAAGGGTTTCTCTCTCTACAGTACAGCATATTAAACCTGACCCCTCTAATGAGTACATCTGATTAAGTTTCTTATCCTTTTTCTCTCTACAGTACAGCATGTTACACCTGACCCCTCCAATGAGTGCACCTGATGAACTCAGACAGTGTAAGAAGTTGGTCAATGAGGCAGGATTCCTTGAGGTGAACAATGAGACACTCCAGAGTACGAGGTACCCTAACATCTTCAGTATTGGCGATTGCAATAGTGCTCCCACATCAAAAACTGCAGCAGCTGTTGGTAAGTCTGTAAAACAAAAATAAAAAAGCAAAAAACCTCAAGTTTATTCAAATCATGACTGACGATGAACAAAAAGGACCTCTTGTTTATTGTTGGCGTCAAATGTAGAAATGAAATGAAAGTGTACTGTTAGTTTGTGTATCATATGGTAGATGTCAGTATCTCTTGAAAGTACTGTTTGGTTAAGTAAAAATGATCAATTTTTTAGGTGTTTTCTATACTAAATGAAACTTTGAAAGAAATGTTTTATTGCACTTAATTTGCCTAATATCTTTGCAGCTTCCCAAGGTGGAGTTGTGTTTAAAAATCTAACTGCTTTGATGAATGGAAGACCAATGCAGAAGAAGGTACAATCACTATATCTCTTTTTTTTATTGTTCGCTTGCACGGAAGATTACCTAGTTATTACATTGGTGCGTCTTTAATCCAGGCACTTCACCTTTCAGACGAAAATTTACTGGGAACAAACTTGTCATCTCAATTCCAATTTTGGGGGTACAAATTATATTTTTATATATATCAAGTATGTTTCAGTAATCCGGGCACTTTATTAATCTGGACAATCTTGTGAACACAAGCGTCTGGAAAAATGTGGCACGACTGTACAAATATCCTTCTTATACAAAATTTTTCGATTTCAGTATGATGGCTATACATCCTGTCCACTGATCACACGTAAGGGACGCTGCATCCTGGCTGAGTTCGACTACAATGGAAATCCCCTGGAGACTTTCCCCATTGACCAGGGCAAGGAGAGATGGACCATGTACCACCTGAAGGCTGATGTCCTCCCCGTCATGTACTGGAATGGCATGCTACCGTAAGAATTGCATTTTAATCATAATGAAACGATACCTCAATGTGAACTCTGTTGATTTGGGAGTTGGGGAATTTTTTTTTTTTTTTTTTTTTTTTTACTAAATTTACATTTTCAGAATCAATCTGTGAAAACTTTGCATAATATTGATCCCTGAGCAAAGTATTTGATATACCAGAAATACAAAATTCTTTACATTTAATTATAAAATTCAAGCAATAAAACTGATTTTTATCTCAGATTTTGCAGTGTAGTATTTTAAGTCAGGCTTTCAGTACTTTTAGTACTTTGATTTATAATATACATGTATTTTTTTTATAGTGGTCGTTGGAATGGGCCAGGCTTCTACAGGAAGGCATTGAGATTGGGTCTGAGTGATGGAAGAACAAAGCAAGCATAAGCAAAATTTGGATCCACACCTCACAAATGTGCTATCTTCGAAGCCAAGTTTTTTGATCCACTCCCCTAGGATTTCAACATCCAAAGACTAGTCACTATAAAAATTTTTAAACCTGCCCTCTTCATTTTATTTGCAGTTTGAGATATTGTTGAAAGAATTCTGTGTTAGATGTATTCATTTTAACTATTTGGAGTACATTGTTAGTTTACTCTCTTTGCATGTGGGAGTGGGACACACATGATTTATATGTGAATAAATGAAAAGTGTGGGGCACACTTTTTTTCTTCATCTGTCAGGTAAAGTTGACTTTTCTTGCACAGTATTTTTAATGTCATATGTTTATAGCATGGTTAGTGAATTTCTGTTCTACTTTTGATGCAATATTGCTGTATTTTACTGGTTGTTTTTTGAGGGAAAAATATAGATCTTTCTTGCTTTGTACAAAGCATTCATTGATGTACGTACACATAACTGTGTACATTTTGAAGATTTTCATTTTTCTTAACAACTCTGGAGAAGTATTTTAAGGGGGATTTGTTTTTTAAATTTTTTTTATACTATACTAGTATTAGAAAAGAGTTAATTATATGTATCTATATGTCCATGATGTAGGTATGTTTTAATTCTTTAAAGTGCTAATGTATTATACTTGAATATTGTTTTCTGCTTCAGATGATTTACTTTATGCAGCATTAAAAAAAAAATAAGCAATTTATTAAAGCATTTGCTTGAAAAAGACTGAATTAAAATCATAACTGATTTTGACAGTATTAACACCCCTCCCCCCCCCCCCCTAAAAAAACAATACAAATAAATGTCTAGACTATGTACAATCAAGATCAAGAGTTTATCTAGTGGTACACATGATGAGTGCATATTTTTGGGGGCAGTATTAAAGTTTGATCAAAGAACGAATTTAATGTGGCCTTAAATATGGCAGAAATATATCACGAATAAGATTGCTCAATGTTATAGTGTGCAAAAAATTCAGTTTGTTTTAGAAGGGCATACCTTATGTACAAATAAAACCAAAGATTTTGAAGTTTTTGGTGTGATAGGGCTTTGTTAACAACCACTTTTAACAACCACTTTTATAGTTCCTGCAGTGTTTGGATGAGAATTTATCAGGGAAAAATGTTGATTTACTAGAATGATTTAAAAGTACCTATTAATCCATTTTGTTACATCTGTTTGTTAAAGCAAGAAAACTTTGTTCAGATTTCTTTTAAAATGTTTGCAAAATTCATTGAAAATGTTACTCTTTCAAATATTATTCAATATATATTAGCAGTTTGATATATAGTGTACATGTTCAGTAAATGTGCATATAGCAAAGTGTCAGGAATGAACAATTTTAATTCATAATAAATTTAATTTGTTTTATCCCATAAGTTACATGTATTGATATGTTTTAAAACTACAGAGAAAAAAAATCACTTCACTGTAAGCATGAATTTGTTATTATAAGCATGTTTGCTATATCCATGTTTTACTGTATAATATAGGTAGAGGTACATTGTAGCTAATAGAATGATGCATGATCTCAAATAGAGGCCCACGTTTTTGATGATTGAGTCCCAAAATTCAACTTGTTTTAGGATGAATTTAGAATATTGTTTGCTGTCACTGTGAGCATATAATTTTGGGAATCAGTTTTTCATGGTATATAAGTATGTATATATATTTGAGATCTTGTTAGTGAAAAAAGAATGCTTTAATTACACAGGAAGGAAGAATATGTAGGAAATGGGAGCATATTATATTTTTAAAATTTTTGATGTTTTTTAAAGAAGTAGGTAATTTTGATATAAAAATTTCAAGTTGGTCTATTCAATTTTTTTTTCTTCTAATTTTTAAGATGGTAATATACATGTTCTGCATGTAGATTTGTTTGTGCTTTTTTTGCATGTTTTGTGATTTTGATTCTCTCCATAATTTGTTCAATTTTAAAATCAAGAGAAATATGGCATTCCAATTATGAAGTGAATCATTTTTAAAGAAAAAAGCATTTGCTCTGTTCATGTGTTTAGAATTATGTATTGTCTTTGACATTTTTCTGTGTTTAAATCAAGGATTTTAAAATTCATTTTTTTTTAAATGTTTTACTTGGATAAAAAATTATCTTTGGGTGAGATGTATATACTAGGTAGACTGCAACCATGATGAATAGATGCTGTATTTTAATGTACATGTATTTTTCTTTGTGTCTTGAAGAAATAAACTGTACATGTATTTGAAGTTGTAAAATTTTAATAGTATACTTTGATCACTTAATTTTTGCAACACCTTATTTTTAGTAATTTGGCATTTATAAAGCTGACAAAATTTTGTCAGATGTTCTCATTGTTGCATTAATTCTAATATAAAAAAATTAACACTAGAATAAAATTTTCATGGGCAGAAAGTCTTGCGTAATAATGCAAAAATAAAGTTCTTGCAAATAAAAGGTGATTATCAAAATGTCTGCAGGGGATATCTGCATGGTGCATTTAGTGTGCTATTTTATGATTTCTATGTGATTTTTTTTTCCAAATCAAGTGCCATATAATGAAAGGGTTATTTTTTATGATTATAATGATTATATCGCAAATTTTATTTGTGCTTTTTATAATGTGAATATATAGGTGTATTTCAGTGTTGACCATTTTATATGTATTAACATTTATTATAGTTCCTGTTTAAATGTAATGTAAATTGACACGGGAAATTCACCTTGGATAAATAAATGCACCGGTAGATAATGAACTATTCTAGAAGTTTGATTTCCATCCATTCTTTATTATATGTAAGAACACGTGGAAATTCAACTTTTTAACACTGTGTAAATTTCTTTTCTGCCTTTTGTTTGTACATTGTCATGTTTCACTGAATGGAACAGTATATTCTATATCATTATTATAATAGTGAACATGTATCTAATGAAAATAAAATGCACTGGTGCAAAAAATTTCATTGATTCTAAAGATTTAATAAATCAGAATATTTGAGGAAAAGGGGTTAAGTGAATTTTTAATAGATTTCAGGTTTGGGGCGATGGTGCGATAATAACAACTGAACAACACGATAGTGCAATAACAATGATGCGATGTCGATATTGATGGAGCGATACGAGGCGAAATATGATTGCAATGGTACAATAAAGCGATGATAGCCTGAAGATAAAGCGATACTTACTATGGCTCTCATGCTATCGCGACAATAGTATACATATATATATATACATGTATATAGCGACATCGCACCGTCGCATCAGTTCATGCCATGGAACCCGGTAGTCGTTGCACGACAATGGAATGATACATGTAAGCAGTTGCTTATACACTTTGAAAACTAAAA